AAAGGGTCGCCTTAACCAGTGTAACCCTAACAAGGCTCACGAGTTTGATTCGCTTATCCTTGTTCGTCCCAGCCGTTCCTTAACTGCGGTTGCTGCACCTCTTGCTGGCACTCTCCTGAACGACTCTGTGTTACCTACTGTGGCTGCCCCTCTTCCTTGTATCCTCCTGCATGACTACGTTGCCTAGCCGTATGCCTGGTCTAAGGTTCGACGCCAAAAATCAACAACAACAAGTTCATATTAAAACGCTGAAGAGTTTTTTGTTTGTTTGTTTGAACGCGCTAATCTTAAGAATTACTAGTTTGATTGAAATCATTATTTTTGTGTTGAATAGCTCATACATTGAGGAAGGCTATAGGATATATACAATCACTCTACGACTAATAGAGGCGAAGCAGTAAAGAAAAATGTTGCAAGCACGGGAAATAGTATTTAAACTATTTTCACTCGTACGAAGTTGATTTTGTGGCGTCGAACCTTGGACCAGGCATATGGCTAAGCAATGAAATCGTACAGGAGGGTACAAGGAAGAGGGGCAGCCACATTAGGTAACACAGAGTCGTTCAGGAGAGTGCCAGGAAGAGGTGCAGCAACCGCAGTTAAGGAACGGCTGGGACGAACAAGGATAAGCGAATCAAACTCGTGAGCCTTGTTAGGGTTACACTGGTTAAGGCGACCCTTTACAAGGCTTGGAAGCATGTGGGTAACAAGCCATTGGACGTGGAGAGGGTCATTAATTATACGTATATTTTCTACTTTGCCGAACTTTAGCGCGAGAACGGTTTGTCCAAAACATATGAATTTGGTCTTATTCAATGCAGGATTAAGTGCCCTTCAACCGTCATGAAGACCACTTTTCGATAGGGTAAGTCCTTTACGCGGTATAACCGGAAAACCGAAAAAACGCCCCTTTCGGGGGCCCCCACCACTTAAGCACAACTCCGTCGAAGTCGAAAACTTAGGAGAGTCTTAATGGGCAACCAATGAAGCCATTAAAGCAAAAAAATCTTTTGTAGGAATTATTTCCGATTTAATCAATTTTTGTGTTTAATTCTACTGGCCTACTATACCTAATAGATTTTGAAGCAAGCTAAAAGTAAATATTTCAGTAGTTAATCTATCAGTCTCATATAAAAACATAAAATAATGATGCAAATTATGTTTCAAATTAACTAGGATGAAATCCGTGTCAAAATAACATTAACATAAGTTGGTATTTGGAAGCATACTGAAATCGAAGTACCAACCTAAGTATAAATATGCATTAACATAACTTTCTAAAACAATGTAGGTACCTACTAATTGAAAGTAAACTATTCAAAACAAAAGCACAAACTCCAAAGGTCAAGTGAAATTACCATTCGAATCTACATCCCGTTCGAATACTTCTCTACTACAATGTTTTAAAACACCTCCTGCTTCATTTGGTAATTGTTACAACATACACTGCGACTAATTTTTATATTTATCATTCACCCCATAATGGGCGTTCGCTAACGAACATAAATTAAATAAATGAGCCGGTCATGCACAGGGCATCCCCGTTGCGCTGTTAAGCCAATATTTGAAATTTCAAACCCATATTTGTGATCGTGATTGGGCGATTCCCATTAACTGTTGTGTGCCAGACGTTTTAGTTAACACTCGTCCGGATGTTTAGCTATGATAATATCCAGATATTTAGTTCATTGATTAATGAAAACACACAAAATTTGTGTGTTAAATGAGTCAGCGTTGCCTACTTGCATAGTTCTACGGTTAGAAGTCTATTAGCATCCGACGTACAGATTATTCAAATTAACCCAAATGGTATCGTTCTTTCAAGTTAAACAGTGAATAATAGTACTCTACTTGTTACATTTCATAAACAGTCAGTAGCACATGAAACTACACATTTTCGTGGCAAAATAGTACTTATTGAATCTGCATACGATGCAACAATGTTTAACATAATATACTGTCAATTAAGCCGTGTGGTGACGGCAGAGTAGAATACATTTGTCACCAACCCCTACTCTTCCCGCGGGTGTCGTAAGAGGCGACTTAGGGACTACACATCAAACAGAGAATGGGCAGCAGCGCTCTCTGAAAAACATCAATCTTTTAAACTGCGATCTCCAACCCGCCTGCCTAGCGTGGAGATTATGGCAAAACCCTCCACTATAGTGGAGGAGGCTCATAGTCCAGCAGTGGACTGTAAAGGGCTGTTGATGATGATGACTGTCAATTAAAGAGTCAAACACAGCCGGTGTAAGTGCAGCGGAAAATGAACGTAGAGATTTTTTTATACAAATTGACAGCCGAGAGCGCAATGTGTGGAAATGCTGTGACACCTATTGTGTGAGTGTGACGGAGGCTTTAAACAAAAGAAGTTTTTTTTACAGAATTAAACACACTAAATTCCCAAAATAGCATTTCGGCTAATGTAGAGTTTGGTGTCATACACTAATTTAATTAATTGAAAACAGCTTGTACACAGAATTAGCGTTGTCATCAACGTCAATCAGAAAATTCCTAACTAAATTCAATATCCGATGCAACCATTAACTGTATAAGGTATAGTCGTTTTTACGAGAATAGACTGAGTGTTTCGACCATGACCCAGTGGCTCGTTACTGCACCAGATCATCACGCCTACGTGGCTAAGATGACAAACTGCATTGTAGGATAACCACTGGCCAGTGTTCAATTACATGATTGCGACCTTTTTCTAAGCACCAAATATAGTTTGCGGCATTAAAAAAAGAAAAACCTACTGCAATGTTAAAAATTGCACTGTCCGTAGTGGCCAGTATGAAATTATTTAAGACATTAGTTTTTTCTATTTGATCAACTCCTATGTCAAAGAACTCAGCTCAGCCATCAACACCGACGTCATTTTGGTTTTCAGTAGATTGATTAGTATTCATGTTTTTTATAATTAACCTATTATTGTCATTTTATGTGTATTAAACTATGTGTAAATAAATGTTTATTCGATCTAATAAACGTAATTTTCAATGCGAATAAAAACTAAATTGTGCCGAAGGCGTCTTAACTCTACTATTTATTGAAGGCATCTTTTTATGTCAGACTCAAGTTTCAGCGATGAGTCATCTTCTTTTTTTAAAATTAAATTGGATGCATCCTATCTTTGTTTACATAACAAAAATATGTATCTAGCAATAGCGAGCCACAACCCAACGGTTAGTTTTTTTTTCTATATTCGTATTTTGTGCGTTTGTACTTAATTCGGCCATGTTAATAAATATACTTAACATTTTTAATGTAACATCTGTAAGCAAATGGTTTTTAACGATTGTAGCTCACACATCTCGTCGCCTATTAACGTCAGCTAATCAAAATTAATTATCATTGACCACATTAACATTACCCAAGTGGGTTAACAAGATTTTTTAATTTATTTAAGGACGTTGCGGGTTTGGAATAGTTTTTCTTGATTAAAGTCAATCAATAAAAGTATTAATTACGATAAATTAAATAGATCTACTGAATATAGGTAGAATGCATTTTAATATTCGTAACATTCATATATCATTTATTGTAATTTATGATTAACTTTTAACCTTACGAATGTATCTAATGTTGATAGTGTTTTTACGATTTATCCATATTAAGTACCTATAGTGTTATATGTACAAAATATATTCATGTATTACCGTTACGATGGATGTTTTATGACTAAGTATTAGCATTCTTACTGAATAGCAATGACAAAGATATTTACCCAGTTGTAATTATTTTTAACCTTGAGATAGATAAATATTTATCACCTACATTGCGATGGTTGGGAATTATTGATGAATATTAAATAATTGCAAAGTAATTGTCCGTTTTCTACTTAATGGATTCTAGCTATATTTAACTCTATGCTATCCTATTGAATAATCAATAAATATCCATCTTTGCTAACAAATAAAATTTATTTGTTATGAACACATTATAAGGTTTTATTATCTGCCACCCACCTCATGGTGGTTTAAAATAATTTAGCGTTAACTCATTACTAACAATACTTTGAAGTCGAGCCATTTTACTGGGATAATATATTTTGGCACTAATAAACTTGGCACTTACATTTAAATCTCAGTTTAACCGTTTGAAACGGTTGTTATATTCTATTTTGCCCAAAACAACCTTGCAACCTTTAAATTTGAATAGACTGTCCTTTGCTATTGAACTTTGACTTGACATTAAAAGAGAGTCTAATAAATGCACACGGAAGAACCAGTTGACATAACATTAATCTACACATTATTAAATAAACAATACAATCGCAACGGCCTTCGGCACACGTCACCGCTATCTATCTAATCTGTGCTCGAAAACGGTCGCTCTCGAGCGATTCTTTTAGCTAACCCTCGAACGTACCACTTACGTTTGAAAAGCAATAATATCCCTCGATCTAGTAATCCGATCACGCGCACCGGGTACAAACAGCACACATTAACTTATATTACTGTAATCACACTGGATACACACCGTGGTTATGTCAGAGTGACATTTCCCAAAGCTTTCGGCTCGAAGGGTGCGGGTTTGGTTGGGCTATCGGACGTCGTAGCGCGGGAAACAGTCGGGAAATTGGCGTGCGACGCGACAACGAGCGCGGGCGTACGGCGCTGTAGCCACCAGCAGACTGATCTGCCCGCCAGTGATAACGCCGCGCGATACCACGCTCGGAAAATGGAAAACAATTGAAACTCGAAATATGGATGCTCGGTTAGATAACAACAATGAAAACATTCGAATCAAACCGCCGGTGAACCGTACAAAATGACCGCCTGTGCTGTACGATGCGCTCTGTCAGCGCATCAACAACAAAACTAATGTGACGTCTTTTATGATGCATTCTGATTGTTTATGATCCAATGAAAACATAACACAATAGTTCATATTTAGCAGTAAACTTTAATATTTAATGAATTAATAAATCCAATCATCAATTATGGCAATCCATTACATTCATGAGTTGGGGCCTATTATTCGTCGATCGTCAAAGGTTAATGTTGTTTTATGGGGTGCAGGCGACAGGCATCGGTGGGGCGAGGGTATCGTAGAAATAATAAAGTGCTTGACGAGCGTATTTCAGAGGAGCCCTTAAATTCGCACGTCGTTCGTCGAGACAGGAAGGGCCGAAAATAAACTGGAACAAAATATCTCGAAATAAACTGGGCTGGTCCACGCGAGTCACCGTTCACTGCTGCAGTCGTAAAACTATTGGTTTTCATCAAGAATGGAACTCGGTTTTATTGACCTGGGAATAGAGAAATACCTTACTCTACATAAAATGCGAATCTCAGTTTCTTATCGCTGAGTCAATTGAAGTTTAAAAATCAATAAATACATAATAAAACATTTCACTACCAATAAAGTTTAGTACAATTGCATCTTCTCTCAAAACACTTAATTTAGCTCTGACTACTAAATTAGTTTTTGATTAAGCACATTAGAAAACTAATTTTCAATAAATGTTTTGTCAATTAATTTGGCAAAAATCAGACGTTATAAAAGGTAAGGTCATCATTACTAATTACAATAGGTATTTACGAACTCTTGCGATTTGACAGCTCTTATAAAGTGCATAGTCAATTGATTAATGATGTGAACTACTAGAAATTTAAAATTTTCTCATTAAATGTAATTTCATGTGGAATAAGAACTCAATTATTATAATAATAATCGATCTTCCTTTGACTAGAGTGCTCATAGCGAAGGAGCTAGTTAGTGACACTTGGCGTCTAATTCAATTACCAGTTGAACTTTTAACTTTCGCACTTTTCCTTTTACATTTCACAGTGTTCATTTTAACTTAAAACAGTTCTATTTTATCAAGATTTCATAATTTCTAAGAAGAGCTGCATGGTCAGATTTTTCGTTTGTTTACACTAAGCGTAAAGTTTTGGTTAAGACGCCTACACATTTACTCGATTTGACAGTACAGTGTACGTTTATGTTACAGTACAGAGTTATGCCCGTTTTCACCATCAATCCCTAATTTTTAAGTGACCACTATGAAAACAAAATTCCTGTTATGTGTCAACACAGGGCTCACAAATAAAAAATAGGGATTGATGGTGAAAACAGGCATTAAGGCTTCCTTGTCTCTTAAGAATTTTAGGAAACTGGTTACAATACCTATAAGTGACACATAGTATAAAATCATTCACATTATAGTCATCTTTATGTATTCGGTCACAATTTGCAAGCTTGCATCCACTAGATCGTCAGAAAAAGAAATATAATGCTATGATTCGGAGAGCACTTTCAACATATTCTGCCTCCTCAAGCGGCTTCAAATTGTGACTTTGACAAAAGATCTCGATTTAAGTTTTATCGATCTCGTAAGCTCTACTTAACGATTGGCTCCACAAAACCAAATATAATAATGTCCATTGTCTAATACGCATTTATTGAATTAATGATAGCCAACAAGTTGATCCACAAAATAGAGTAAATGTGTAAGCACCTTTATTGACTTCGAAAGGTGGAGTTTTTAAGAGCGTTACCAAGAATTCGTGATATTACAGATGGTTCACTGTTTGTTTACTTTTTATTTGTTGCCTAGAATAACAAACAGACATAAATCTAAGGCTAAGTTGCACCACCTAACTTTAACGGTAACTATAATGATAACCGGTGCTTTTTGCATGGAGTTTAACAGATTTTTGACGTTTGTTAAAGTTAAGGTAAGATGGTGCAACCCAGCCTAAGAGACTTGGTTGTTACGATGGTTATAGAAGCAGTTATCTACCGATCATTATTCTGTCATGCTCATGTTAATTTAATTTCAATATGTTCAATAGGTCTTAACTTATCTACAATAGTTTTCTGACACAACAACAACAGTTTTATGACATAGTAACGTCTAAGATTATATAGGGGAAGTCTAATGCTACCGTGAAATTGTAGCAATTGAACCCACAACCCTGGTGTCAGATAATTTGACCTACCGTTACCGTTTGATATTAAAAATATTTCCTCTAGACTCTAGAACAATCGGGCTGAGAGAGGGACTAAAAACTAAGGCACTAAAGCTGAGTTGCACCACATTATTTTTGGGCTAACCGTAAAATTGAAAAGAACCGGTGCTTTTTGTATGGAGTTTGACAGATTTTTTGTCAAAGTTAAAGTAAGTTGGTGCAAGTCAGCCTAAAATGTATAGTCGTACTGTCATGTTTCTGAAAGACAACTTTTACGCAGTACATTCTCGTATTTAATCAAAACTTAAACAAGATTACTCGAGATTACTTATCCGCGGAGAATGTTCAAAGCATCCATTACTTACTTATTTAGATTTAAAAACATTTTCTGAATAGCAAATGACACGACGAGCTTAGTCAAGATTTCTTAGTAAGTGCAAGAAGAAATACATCACGAGGCAAACTTTAGAATTGGACTTAGGAAACCGACGGAACGAGAATTCTAAACCACTCCGTAAGCTCTTGGCGCGCTACTGAATATTACGTACCTATTTATATCGGGAAAAGTATCAAGTGAAAAATTGGGAAAGTTACACGAAAGTAACATTAATTAGTACCTGACTAAGTTTGCGTTACTTATTTTAAAACAGATGTCCCTAAAGTTTTGGTCTGTAGATTATTATAGCATGTACTCGTAGATATTTTTATAGTTTTTGTGTCAATTCTTTCTTTACAATTTTAAGGGGGCGGACACAGATATTTTGAAATTAGGTATGTAATGACGACCCAATATGTATAGGTAAGCTCGGTATTATAAAAATATTGTCGGAGAAATATAATATCAAAAATTGATTTTTTTCTCGAATTTTACGAAAAAATTCAAGCTAATTTTATCTTATTAACATTCGCCCGTATTTTTTATCATTACATTCGGTGTTTAAGTAGATTACCTATTCAAGTAATGTTTTTCTCACCTGCTCATTCAAGTAACGTTACTATTATTTCACTAATTATGTCATTGTTTATAGCAATAAGTAATTTATTCTCCAAGAATGTATCATTGGACCCGTGCGGTCGTGGGAGCCCAGCGCCGGATTAATTACAAGCTAGTTAAATTGATAACCGGAGGGCCGCAGACCGCCGCAGGGCTAGAGCATCTAGAAGCTATGTAGATATCGGTATAAGGATTAACCCACTTGTTACGGAATTCACTTTTTCTATCACTTACCTTTAATCAGTCATGATAAATTAATCTCAAAACAATCGCTCCAAAACTTTATAGTTATTTACGTCAGTGAACTTATAAGACTTGGACAGTACTGCGACTAGGGTTTCTGATTTCTCGACTTATTTTTTTTCTCGAGTTTCGGGAATTCTCGAGGCCAAAGTCTCGAGCTTTCTCGGGTCTCGAGTCTTTTAATCAAAACTGTTGAAATCGGTTGAAATTTAATAAAAACACGGGTTTTTATTAATGTTATAATGTGTCTGGGTTATAATCAATAATACTGTAAAGTTTCAACAAAATCCGTTCAGTAGTTTTGCGTGAAAGAGTAACAAACATCCAGACATCCACACAAACTTTCGCATTTATAATATTAGTAGGATAATTATAACTTAGTAATTAACTAAAGGAACAAAAGTCATAAAGTCGTAAGCTCGTAGGTGAACATTATTAGTTTCGGTTAAGAGCATTACTTGCAAATCAAATTAGTTAAAAAAAGGAAAGACTAGGCCAGTCTAAACGCAACGTTAACCTATTAAATAATTAAAAACTTACTTTTGTCTAAGAAAATAGGCTTTCAAGAATATTAAAGCTTCAAAATCGAAACTCGAGAATTCTCGAGCTCCGGTAATTTTTTTTTCGTCTCGAATGAAGCCAAATTTCTCGAGTTTTCTCGAGTTCGAGAAAGCTCGAGCAGAAACCCTAACTGCGACAAACCTCCTCATCTTTCAAATGTTGCATATTAAAATCGTTTACACTACCCACATTAGTAAAAATATTTATGTAAAAACTAGCGTTCTTTTAAAAGAACGCTAGTAACAAGTGGGTTAAGTTGGTAGATACAACTGAATTCAGATTACAATTGACATTGTAGATCAGTCTATCTAAAAAAGTTTCCTGATTTCAAAGAAACTTTTTTGTGATCGAAAGTAGGCGTATGTAGTTATGATTGGAGTAATGGGCATCTTTAATCATAATGTTGGATTCCAGGTATCTTTATGATATTTGACGACCCGGAAATGATTGCATTTGACTAGTAGCTACATTAGCCAGATAGCCACAAATAAAGCAGAGCTTAGATTTTTTCTGTACTGTGGATATTTTCTAGAAACTACAATGAATAAACTTATACAATATTTTGTCCATAAAAGATCAAAATCAAGAACAGCAACCTGCTCTAGGTCCGGTGCGGACTAACAATAAGTGGCGGCCGTTAAATTTAATTTAAATTACCACTATTTTTTGTTCACCCCAGAGGTTTTACCTCTATTTCATTCAACATCATCTCTATCTCTATCTATTTTCATCCAAAAGCTGTCAAAGAGCGAGAGAAATATATTTGTGTACGTCTTCCGAAGGACCAATTCGGCGTTGTTATTAATTTGACCGCTGCCAAGTAATCTGGCCCTTAGCGGGTTAGCCAAGCCCCCCGCAACCGCATCTCTGCGGACGCGGCCATTTAAACTCTATTGTTTAATGTAAAATATTGTAACTGACGGTTATATTTACGGAATTCATTGCAAAATTTTAAATTCAAATACGTTAGATTAGCCTAAAACTAAACAGAGTTTGTAGGCTAATGTGCGAGAAGGTAATGAATAGAACTGTCACTCGCCTGTAGTCACAAACGATGCTTGCTTAAATTAAGCAGCAAATCGAACGCACAACGTTGAATAGAGCTCTGTGGTAGATTCGTGTGTGACCCTGTGCGTCCACGCGCACTATGAGACCTCATAGTAATGTTTGTGTCACTGTAATTTCAGTAACTGCCCAGGCCATGAATCATGATTTTGTGGGTAAGCATCAGGGAGTAGGGTTAAACGTTCCCAACTTTACCTTCTTTTGATGGCATGAAAATATGTTGGAATAAAACCAAAATGATTCTGATGGAAGTAAACAAAAGTCTGGGTGGTATCTAGGATTCCCATTTATGTCGTTCAGTCCCAGTCTAGGCGGGGTCTGCTTAGAGTGGAGTTCAGTGTTACTCCTATTATATCCAGT